TGTTGGGAAAGCTGGACAGCCACATGTAAATCAATAAAGTTAGAACACTCCCTCATATCATACATAAAAATAAACTGGAAATGGCTCAAAGACTTAAATATAAGACATGGCACCATAAAACTCCTAGAAGAGAACATAGGCAAAACATTTTCTGACATAAATTGTAGCAATGTTTTCTAAGGCCAGTCTCCCAAGGCAACAGAAATAAAAGCAACAATAAACAAATGGGACCTAATCAAACTTATAAGGTTCTGTAAGCAAAAGAAACCGTACACAAAATGAAAAGTCTATGGACTGAGGGAAAATATTTGCAAACGATGCGACCAACAAGGGCTTAATTTCCAAAATATACAAATAGCTCATATAACTCAATAACAAAAAAAACAATCAAAAAATGGGCAGAACACCTCAGTAGACATTTCTCCAAAGATGACACACAGATGTCCGACAGGCACATGAAAAGATGTTCAACATTGCTAATTATTAGAGAAATGCAAATAAAAACTACAATGAGATATCACCTCATACTGGTCAGAATGGCCATCATTAAAAAGTCTACAAATAACAAATGCTGGAGAGAGTGTGGAGAAAAAATCCTCCTACATTGTTGATGGGAATGTAAATTGGTGCAGCCACTGTGGAAAACAGCATGGAGGTTCCTTAAAACCTAAAAATAGAGCTACCATATGATCCAGCAATAACACTCCTGGGCATATATCCAGACAAAACTATAATCTGAAAACATACATACACCCCAATATTCATAGAAGCACTATTTTCAGTAGCCAAGACATGGAAGCAACCTAAATGTCCATTGACAGATGAACAGATAAATATTTAGTATACACACACACACACACACACACACACACACACACACACACACACAACGCAATACTACTCAACCATGTAAAAGAATGAAATGATGCCATTTGCAGCAACATGGATGGACCTAGAGATTATCATACTAAGTGAAGTAAGCCAGAAAGGGAAAGACAAATACCATATGATATCACTTACATGTGGAATCTAAAATATGATACAAATGAACTTATTTACAAAACAGAAACAGACTCACAGACATAGAAAACAAACTTATGGTTACCAGTGGGGGCAGGGGATGGGGAAGGGATAAATTCAGAGTTCGAGATTAGCAGACACAAACTACTAAATATGAAATAGATAAACAACAAGGTCCTACTGTATAGCACAGGGAACTATATTCAATATCCTGTAATAAACCATAATGGAAAAGAATATGAAAAAGAATATATGAATATATCTGAATATATATATATATATATATATATGAATCACTTTGCTGTACACCAGAAACTAACACAACGTTGTAAATCAACTGTATTTCAACTTTAAAAAAAAGAAAAAGAAAAAAAGAACAAGAAGAGGGGTGCCCACTGAGGACAATAACAGATATTTACTGAATTGAATTCTTCCTATCTGTGAACCCTGTGGCCAATCCTAATAGCCTCTCACTTAATCCTAATAGCAACTCTGTGAAGTAGGTAATTATTCACATTTTACACATGAGAAAACTGGTTAAGAGGGTTAAGTAATATCTTCAAAGTCACAGTTAGCAAGTCGTTTGGACTGAGATAGGAACTTAGATCTGTTTGATACCTAAGTCCGAGCTTTTAGCCATACTCCTCATGAAAGAACCAAAATGAACCTCCAAAAAAGAACTGGAAATGCCTTTCCTCTGGCTATCACCCTACTTCTTCCTGGCCTTTAAGAATATAGGGGAGTTAACTCATCCTAGACCCATGTAGAATTTAGGTTACTGTAATACCTGTTATCACACCAGAAATGGGCTGAACGGAAGACTGTATGCATGCCTTGCCCCCCGGTTTAGGCAGAGATCCAGAAGACAACAGCTGTGGAGTGGCCCGGGATTAGAACTTATGTCTTCTAACATCTCGTCCTGGGCGCCTTCCCTCTCATCATACCAACCACCTTTATTAAACATTTTTAAAGATTACTAAAATCAGAAGGCAACTGAAATAAATGTTTAGGCTGAAAACAGCTGAGAGAATGTATCCACTGATAATCTGTCTTACAAAGAATAATTCTAAAATAGTCACCAAGTCATTTTTGAGAATTATGACAGCAAAAATTAAACAATTTTGAGATTATATTTGTCTGCTTTCATAGGAAGGCAAATTTTCAGAGATTTCTATAAAACTCCTCTAAGTTCTATAGAGCCCAATGCTTTAAAAAAATATGTCAGAAACTTGAAAAAGTTAGCCAGCTAACCAAAATTCTTCATGATAATTAGCCAGATCCCAGAATATGAGAAGTGGAAATTTTACAATGGTATTTTGACAAAGAACCAGATCAAATTCTAACACGACAGAGTTTTTTATTTCCCCTGGTGCCCTGTAAACTAATCCTAGAAATTAGTGGAAAGAAGACTTCTATTCAAGAAAGCACCTTACCATTGGTCAATTCTAATAGGTCACTCCATTTGGGGGACCAGTTAGTTCACTTCTTCCATTTTTCTATAATTCTGTTTATGTTAGAAAATTGCATAGAAAGTTATTTTAAACTTATGTAAAATAGCATTCTTCCTGAAGGGACATACATTCCATGCACAAAAATTAACTTTATTTTCTTCATAAAAGGTTTTCATATTTCCTTCATTTAGTGGGTTCACACATATTTATATGTTATACAACCTTTTTGGTATGTTATTTTATTTATATATTATACATAGTATATATACATGTTATGATATACTACTCCTTTGATGTATTTTATATATATTAATACTTTCAAAGCTAATTTATTGGAACTCTTTTGGTCAAGAAGTTCTCATAAACCTCCCCAAAGTGAATGAATTTGTACACCTCTGGAAAGAATTTACTGGCAGAGTATATGTGAATATAAAACAAATTTCAATCTTAAAATTATTTTCGTGCTTTTAAAATCAATGTTACCATATGTATTAAAAACCACTGATATTAAATAGGAAGAATACTCCCAGAGTAATGGAAATAAAAACAAAAATAAACAAGTGGGACCTAATTAAACTCAAAAGCTTTTGCACATCAAAGGAAACCATAAACAAAATGAAAAGACAACCCACAGATTGGGAGAAGGTATTTGCAAATGATGTGAGCGACAAAGGATTAGTCTCCAAAACTTATAAACAGCTCATGTGGCTTAATATCATCAAAACAAACAACCCCAGTCAAAAAATGGGTGGAAGACCTAAATAGACATTTCTCCAGAGATGACATACAGATAGCCAAGAAGCACATGAAAAGATGTTCAACATCACTAATTATGAGAGAAATGCAAATCAAAACTACAATGAGACATCACCTCACACCAGTCAGAGTGGCTATCATCAAAAAATCCACAAACAATATATGCTGTAGAGGGTGTGGAGAAAAGGGAACCCTCTTACACCATTGGTGGGAATGTAAATTGGTACAGCCACTATGGAGAACAGTCTGGAAGTTCCTTAAAAAACTAAAAATAGAACTACCATATGACCCAGCAATCCCACTCCTGACCATATATCCAGAGAAAAACATGCTCCAAAAGGATATATGCACCCCAGTGTTCACTGCAGCACTGTTTACAACAGCCAAGACATGGAAGCAACCTAAATGTCCATCAACAGAGGAATGGATAAAGAAGATGTGGTACATAAATACAATGGACTATTACTCAGCCATTAAAAAGAATGAAATAATGCCATTTGCAGCAACATGGACCGAGCTAGAGATTGTCATACTGAGTGAAGTTAAGTCAGACAGAGAAAGAGAAATATCGTATGATATCACTTATATGTGGAATCTAAGAAGAAATGATACAAATGAACTTATTTACAAAACAGAAACAGACTCACAGACTTAGAGAATGAACTTATGGTTACCAGGGGGGAAGGGTGAGGGGAAGGGATAGTTAGGGAGTTTGTGACTGACATGTAAACACTGCTGTATTTAAAATGGATAACCAACAAGGACCTACTGTATAGCACAGGGAACTCTGCTTAATATTATGTAACAACCTAAATGGGAAAAGAATTTGAAGAAGAATAGATACATGTATATGTATAACTGAATCACTTTGCTGTACACCTGAAACTATCACAACACTGTTAATCAACTATATGCCAATAAAAAATAAAAAGTTTAAAAAATAAATAAATTGAAGAAAAATAAATAGGAAGAACAGTTTACATAACATATAAATTATAACAAATTTTAAAAATTGGAATTTGTAATCTCTAATATTAAGAGAAAATAAGAAATTAGTATTAGAAAAATATAGATAAATATAGCCTTTAATTCTGCATGTTTTGTGGACATTTTTCAAGATTCAGTTGCTTAATAATTCTATCTGTACTTGGTAACTTTGTTTTTATTTATTTGGGTTTTAGTGGTAGAGTTCTCTTTTAGGCTTACAGGGACTGAGGCTTAGGTTTAATGCCCTGAAACCAACCTCATTAAAAAAATTAATCTTGAGAAAAACTTCCTGCTACATTACTATGAAGCATCTGCATTTCATAAAAAATATAATTTATTTAATTTTTTCAAATATAGATAGTAACTTTCTTTTTGCCATGCAACATCTCTTTCTTATTTGTAATACTCTCACCAATATGAATGGAGCTTAAGGCAGAGAAATAATATGCAGGGAACTATGAAAATCAGACTCTTTCTAAATCAGGTTCATATTAAAAATTGTTAATTTACTTTGAACTCTGTATTTGGGTACTCTTTAGTAAAGCATGTATTAAATTAGTACAGAAATATCTCAAATGGCATTCCAGTTTGATGTGGAAATGTATGTGTCACTCAGAACATAATTTAATTTGAGGGATAAAAGAGATCAAGAGAGAAGTAGAAGTATACACTGGTCTTATGTGCTATTTCAAAGTCCACATTTTGACACAGTAGATATAAAATCTAGGTTTGAGAACTGAAAAACTACATTATAACTTTGACCTTCTCAAAGTCCATTTTTCCCACCTTACTATTTCTTCTGGGTAACAGTTGTTAATACTGTTGATGTATTCTTGAAGGAGAGATCCAGGTTCTGCTTTTATCTCTTGAATCCTTTTAAGTCCACCACTTGTTACAAAAAGTCGTCGAGCTTTGCTATCATGCGGCAGCACCTTGAAAAGTGAAGCACATAAAAATGTCAGCTTTTCTTTTCCAAGTTGGATTTTTACTACTGAAAAGCAATAATATATCTGAGGAAATGCATAAGAGAATTTATGTCCAATATACCTGCAACATAATGAGCCTAAATTTGCTGATCATTGGAAGTAAAATGCAGCCTTTTTAGAAATTTCTTAACTTTTTATGTTGTGGAGATGGAATAAAGGCAATGAACAGGAGCAAAGATAATGGAGAGCCACTCATATACATACAAGGTAAAGCAGTATCTGTTCTTCTCTTATACAAACTGAAGGTCTCTCCAAGCTCCTTAACAAGGCACAGAGGGCCTTCTGTGACTCAGGTCCTAAACACCTCTCCAGCGTCCTTCCCTACCAACCTCTATGCTAAATTTTATTTCAATAATCTCAAAGGGTGTGTCCAAACCATTTCTTGCCTTTGCCTATGCTGTTTCCTCTTCCTAGAATACCCTTCCACCCTCCACACACCTCCCCCATTACTTGGCTCACTCTTGCTTATCTTTTTTTTTTTTTTTTTGGCCACGCCACGTGGCATGCAGTATCTTAGTTCCCCAACCAGGGGTCGAACCAGTCCCCCCTGCAGTGGAAACTGGACCATCAGGAAATTCCCATTCTTGCTTATGTTTTAAGACTCAGCTCAGATGTCACCTCCTTTAAGAAACTTTCTCTGGGATAGCCCTATTCTCTTTTCGCAGGATGAGTTGGGTACTTTTCTTCTCTCATGGAATTCTGTTAAGCCCCTATCTGTGCACTTGCCACATAATTTTTTTTTTTTTTTTTGCGGTACGCGGGCCTCTCACTGTTGTGGCCTCTCCCGTTGCGGAGCACAGGCTCCGGACGCGCAGGCTCAGCGGCCATGGCTCACGGGCCCAGCCGCTCCGCGGCATGTGGGATCTTCCCGGACCGGGGCACGAACCCGTGTCCCCTGCATCGGCAGGCGGACTCTCAACCACTGCGCCACCAGGGAAGCCCTAAGCTAAACTCTTTATATATAACATCTCATTAACCTTTACAATGACCCTATAAATAGGTTCTTTTATTAACCCCATTTATGGGTAATCACACTAAGGTTTAGAGAGGTCAAGACTTGCTAAAGGCATTGCTGCTGGTAAATGGGGAATCCAGGCACCCCAGCTCCAGAGCCTGGGCTCACGGCCACAGTGGGATACTAATTCCAACAACCCTGTTTTCTTAAACCCAACCTCCTGAACACAGTTGATAGTTTAGGGTCCCCCTCCTGGCCATCCACAGCTGTGAGAACGCACTCACTCTCTCTCAGCCTCTGCTTTCAGCAGTCAGTCCCACTGGCTGAGCCCCTTCCAGCAGCTTGACCTTTCTACCTTACTACCTTGAATCTGCAGTGGTCTAAGAAATATGACAGCCACGTTTGTTAAAACTGTTCACAGAATAAGTCAATACACTCCAAGTGACTGTCTCAAAGCATCTTCGGTAAAGTGCATGTACGTTGCAAAAAATATTTCAGTGACTCAGAGACCTTTTACCTTTTCTTTATAAGATCTTCGCAGTGTTCCCAGATGAGTGAAACTAACAGACACTGGGAAAATTACCAAAAGTTACTTCTCAGTATAAATTATCTGCGCTATGAGGTTTTTATATGTTGACTCTTTACTCTCCAAGAACATAAAAAAGACAGTACAGAGGCTGTGAGGAAAATGTGAGGAAGAAGAAAGTGTGAATTAGTTATGTGTGAATTTTATTAGCTTATGTTAATTTTATTAACCTATTTTACCTTCCGTGTCAATATGATAGGTGAAAGTTAAGTAGTAAAACCCTGCCCCCATCTTACAGAAGAAAACATTGACCCAGCAGAAACAACAAGTTAATACCCCATTTCAATTTTCTTCCCCCACTTCTAGGCTAAGAGAGCATGTCTTACCTTACTGAACTGTCCAACCACATACTTCAGAATATTGGGAGGAGCATCATACAGAAATGGCTCGAGAGCTGGTAAATAGGTGCATTTTTGTAGGATGTTCTTTATGGCTTTTTTACTCTATTGAAATACAAAGCAAAATACATACCAAAGTAAGTAATCAATGAAAGCTTGACAAGAATTCATGTCTTGTGTTCCTGGAATTTGAAAATGAAGTGAAGAGCTTGTGATGAACTTAACTGCTGTTGGTGACCAGGTCTACCAGCGGGATAGCGGAGATCACATCCACTGTACCATGCAGACAGCCTTACTCCAATTCTAACAGTTCCAAGCTGGTGATAAGACTGCCAACTTATTAATCAAGAACTCTAATGACACTAGAAATCCACTGAGCTTCACTATCCTTCATCAAGAAATATACTTGAGTTTTGACTATAAACTTCTAGATCAGGATGTATATCATGATTAATAATCAGTTGTATTATCCAGCATGAAAGAAATATTAGTATATTAGTTAATTAAGATTTTGTTTACTTGTCAAGTTCTGGGTTTAAGATTTTTTTAACAACATTATTGAGATATAATTTACATACCATAAATTCACTCATTTTAAAATCCATGTATTTTTAGTAAATTTACAGAGCTGTGCAACCATCACCACAATCTAATTTTAGAACATTTTCATCACCCAAAAGAAACCTCGTGCCCGTTTATAGTTACATTCTTGTGGCTGTAAAGTAATATCTCATTATGGTTTTGATTTGCATTTCTATCATCACTAATGATGTTGAACATCTTTTCATGTGCTGATGGATCATTTGTTGGTGAAATGTCTATTCAGATCTTTTACCCATTTTTTAGTTGGGTTGTCCTCTTATTATTGAGTTGTAAGAGCTCTTTATATATTTTGAACACAAGTCCTTGCTTGAATATATGATTTGCAAGTAATTTTTCCAAGTCTGCAGCTTGTCTTTTCATTTTCTCAGTGATGTCTTCTGAAGCATACAAGTTTTTCCTTTTTAATGAAACCTAATTTATCAATGTTTTCTTTTATTACTTGTGCTTTAAGCGTCACTTCTAAGAAATCAATGCCTAATCCAAGGTTAAAAAGATTTACTTCTATGTTTTCTTCTAAGAGTTTTATAGTCTTAATTCTTATATTTAGACCTATTATCCATTTTTAGTTAATTCTGGTATATGGTATGAGACATGGGTCCAAATTAATATTTTTGTCTGAGGATATAATAATTATCCTAGTACAGTTTGCTGAAAAGACTATCCTTTTAACATTAAATTGCCTTGGCACCTTTGTGAAAAATCAACTGACCATAAAAGGGTCTATTTCAGATTTTCAATTCAATTACTACATCGATATATATGTCTTTCTGTAAGCAAGTACCACACTATCTTGATTCCTGTAGCTTTATAATAAATTTTGAAGTTGGGCAGTGTAAGTCTTTCTTTTTCAAGATTGTTTTGGCTAGTCTGAGTCCTTTGCATTTCCATATGAATTTTAGGATCAGCTTCTCAACTTCTGGGGGGAAAAAAGCCAGCTGGGATTTTGACAGGAATTGTATTGAATATGTAGATGGTTTTCACAATATTGAATTGCCATTTTAACAATATTGAATCTTCCAATCTGTGAACATGGAATGTCTCTTCATTTATTCAGATCTTTTTTAATTTTTTTCAGCAATGTTTTATAGTTTTCAGTGTACAAGTCTTATACTTTTCTTTTTTTTTTTTTTTGCAGTACGCAGACCTCTCACTGTTGTGGCCTCTCCCGTTGCAGAGCACAGGCTCCGGACGCGCAGGCTCAGCGGCCATGGCTCATGGGCCCAGCCTCTCCGCGGCATGTGGGATCCTCCCGGACCAGGGCACGAACCCGTGTCCCCTGCGTCAGCAGGCGGACTCCCAACCACTGCACCACCAGGGAAGCCCTTACACTTCTTTTGTTAAATTTATTCCTAAGTATTTTATTCTTTTTGATGCTATTGTGAATGAAACTATTTTCTTAACTTCATATTTGAATTACTCATTACTAAGATATGGAAATACAATTGATTTTTATATTGATTTTATACCTAGTGATTTTGTTGAACTCTTATTAGTTCTAGTATTTGTGTATGTGTGTGTCTGTGTGTATTCCTTAGGATTTTCTACATATAAGATCACGTCATATTTTGGATTTAAAATGTATAAGCCTTTAGAAAATGTGCCTTATATTTGGTTATTTATGGCTGTGAACGAAATAAAATTGTTCCTACAACTTCATTTTGTGAATTGTACAGAAATTACATGGGGTCAACAAACCCTTTTATTTACCTAATTCAGGAAATCAAGTAAGGTGTTACTTTGAAATAATGAATGAGAGACTATGAATTTTGCTAAATGTCAGAGCATTTAGTAGCTAGTGCTTATCCTTAGACATATATAATACATGATGATGTGAGGGAAGGGGTCATGGGCTATCTACTTAGGGCAACTTGAGTTTGAGCCTGGTTTTCCTATGAACTAGCATAGCATCTACAGTTCTACATTCACTAATTTTTCTGATATTTCTAAAAACTGACTTCAGCCACACTGATCAAAGCTATTGTAAAGACCACAGTAAGTGACTAGCAATACTATTTTTTTTTTATCTCAACAACACACATAAGCGTAGTAATTAACAAAATACAACTGTCAATTCTAGGCAAACACTTGGTGCCACTTCACTTGTTTTTCACAGAAAATGAAAGGAGTAACAAAAAATTATTCACTGTTGCTTTCCTTAATGAATGATCTCTAATGAAAACTGCTTAAAATGAAAAATGTTTCTTATTCAAAAGTTAATTTTATTCTGAAAGCATTCTGACCCAAAGAGCTATAGTTATTTAAATGAGGGGGGCACATAGGAGTAAATCTTCATGACCTTGTGTTAGGCAAAGTCTTCTCAGATATAGCTCCAAAAGCACAAGCAGCAAAAGAAGAAAAATACACTGAACTTCGTTAAAACTTCCTTTTTAAATGTGCTCTAAACAATACCATCAACAAAGTGATAAGACAATCCACAGAATGGGAGAAAATATTTGTAAATCATACATCTGATAAGGATTTGTATCCAGAAATATATAAAGAACGCTTACAACTCAATAATAAAAAGATAAATAGCCCAATTTAAAAATGGGCAAAGGGTCTGATTAGACATTTCTCCAAAGACGATATACAAATGGCCAATAAGCACATGAAAAGATTTTCAGCATCATTAGCCGTCAAGGAAATGCAAATCGAAACCAGAATGTGATACCAATTCACACCCACTAGGATGGCTATAATAAAAAACAAAGACGATAACAAGTGATGGCAAAGATGTGGAAAAATTAGAACCCTCATACATTGCTGGTGGGAATGTAAACTGGTACAGTCACATTGGAAAAGAGTTTGGCAGTTCCTCAAAATGTCAAAAAGAGTTATCATATGATCTAGCAAGTTCCATTCCTAGGTACATACCCAAGAGAAATGGAAACATACGTCCACACAAAACTTGCATAATAATGTTCATAGCAGCATTATTTATAATAGTCAAAGAGTAGAAACAACCCAATGTCTAAGCAGTGAACAGAAAAATAAAACGTGGTATATATCAATACAATGGAATATTATTTGGCAATTAAAAGGAACAAAATATTGATATATGCTACGACATGGATGAACCTTGAAACTTTAAGTGAGAGAAGCCAGGCACAAAAGGCCACATATATTGTATGGTTTCATTTAAATGAACTGTCCAGAAGAGGCAAATCCCCAAAGACAGATAGTAAATTAATGGTTGCCTGGGGCTAAACAGGAAGGATGTGGAGTGACTGCTAATGGGAGAATGAAAATGTTCTAAAATTAGACTGTGGTGATGTTTGCACCTGTGAAGATACTAAAACCATTGAATTGTATAGTTTAAATGGGTAAATTATATGGTATATGAGTTATATTTCAATAAAGCTGCTAAAAATAAAGGGGAACAACCAAGACAATAAGAATACAATAATTAAATCAAATAATTATCTTAGAAATAGTTTTATAACTATTTGAATAGTTTTATAACCATCCAAATGCCAAATTAAGATGATACATTTCGATATGATACCTCTGAATCAAAACAAGTGTAGTTGCCTGAATATTATCAAAATATATGTAGGTAAGCTGATTATATAAAAGATATATATTCTTTTCAGTTTTTATAAGGTATTTGAAATTACATAGGTGTATAGACAGTAAGGCTATGTGAAAATGTGCAAGAAATTCCAAGGGGCTGCTCCTTGGCTCTCTCTCATGGATCAGAACCAATTAGAGAATGCTTACAGAAGGTGACATGCCTTTGGGACAAAATGAACTTCAACATGGCCTTATAATTTGAAAGCTGCTACAGAGTAACAAATGAGAAACACCATTAGACAGTTCCTAAAGCTCTTGGATACATTTTCCCTACTGAGATAGTGTCACATCAAACAGATTTGGACTTCCACTCTAAAGCCTTTAAAACAACAACTGATAGAATCCAAGAGACCTTGGGGAAGAAAAGAAAAGGAATGATTAAGTCCCTACAATAAGAAAATATCTGGATGGATTTAAAGCCTTGGAAAGATTGTTGACAGGATAAAGATTGATAAATCACTTTTAATTTAATACCCACTGTATTTCCTGAAAGTAAATATTATATTAAATAAGGGCAAAAGGAATCTTCTATTAGTAAACCTAAATGTTTTAATAAAACCACCTTTATTAAACTAATACAAGATAAAAATTATCTGACTTCAAAAAGTAAAGTTATCAAACTTATTTTACTCTGGTGATATTTATACAACATAATATCATAATAACTCATTAAAAACCAAGTTATATAAACTTGGTAGCATGTAAATAGTATATAGTGCTCCCTCAGAGACTATTTGCAAGGGTTTCTCAAACTATAATTACTACTGACTCCACTATTAATTATTCATGCTCTAGCTGATGTAATCTTTTATTTCCCTGGATTACTAGAGGTAAGGGTGGGAAGGATGAGAAGTGAGGAGGAGGGAGGAGGGAAGAGGAGGAAGTGGGGAAGAGGAGAGGGAAGAGGGAGGAAGAAAGACAATTATGATAATGGGTTAAAGAAATATGCCACAAAAAGAGAACTACATACATAGGTTAAAATTATATGTAGGGCTTCCATGGTGGCGCAGTGGTTAAGAATCTGCCTGCCAATGCAGGGGACACGGGTTCGAGCCCTGGTCCAGGAAGATCCCACATGCTGCGGAGCAACTAAGCCCATGGGCCACAAGTACTGAGCCTGTGCTCTAGAGCCCATGAGCCACAACTATTGAGCCCTCATGCCACAACTACTGAAGCCCGTGCACCTAGAGCCCACGCTCCACAACAAAGAGAAGCCACCATAGTGAGAAGCCCACCCACCGCAATGAAGAGTAGCCCCTGCTCACCACAACTAGAGAAAGCCTGCGCACAGCAATGAAGACCCAATGCAGCCAAAAATAAAATAAATACATTTAAAAATAAAATAAAATAAAATAAAAGTATATGTATGTAAATCAGATGTACTTGGACAACTCAAAACTGGAAATGGAGTTGTGGTTTCTCACCAGAAAGTCAAAGAATCACACAATTGTTAAACAGGAAAAGACCTTAGCACATTGTCAATCTTACTCTCTACCAAGCATTGCCAAGGAATGGAGTCAACATTGGAGACAAGTAAGGGAAAAGCCCTAAATCTATTAAATCATTGCTTTGATCTAGAAAGTCTTATAAAAACGGGAAAAGCGTTAATCTTAGAAATCAACTTCCCCCAATGAATCTGTAGAGAAAAAACATGTAAACATAACCAAATCAACATAAACTCACTTTTATAAAATTTATAAACCAAATAAATGACTCACGACATCGCTTTCAGAGTCTCTCAACTGTAAGTTCAAGCAGACTTCCTGCCTTGTTAGAGCACCTAAAGTTGTTCCAGCAAATGTGTTTTCCTATTTGTTACTTCAGTGTTTTAATTAAAATTTAAAAGTAATTTAATTTACTGTTATTTTGATTGTCTTTTCTGTGTACTTCTCTCAACCCAAGTCAATTCTGAAAGCTGCTTTCCAAAAGTTACATGTTTTCCTAATAGGCAGTATGCTGGGAAGCATTTTTCTTTCTTTGAAATTCTAAAATTATTTTACAAACCCATCCTACTTTATATTCATGTTTTATGAATCATTTCAGTAGCTAGTAACATTTTTTTTAGAAATCTTAATTTTTTTTTTAAATGCATGATGTAAAAATGTTTAATTTAGTGAATCTTACAGTCATTTTTCCTTTAAGGAACAAATATAAGACATAATTAAAAGATCAGGCAGACTTGGAGTTAGGAGAGGTAGCTCATGCTTCAGGAATACCTTGGGAAAGCAGCTTAAATTTCTTTAGACTCAATTTTTTAATGTAAAATGGACTAAAGTACTCTCTGGCCAATTCCATCTCCAAAATCCTATTATTCAATAACCTATTTCATAAGAAAAGTCAATAGAAATGTAGAAGGCAACAACCAGACATTCATTTTACAAACAACTTTGTACCTACAGAGAACTTTCATTAAAATATATCACTGATTTTTAGAGACAAGGGTAACTCATTTTCAAAGAGTCACCTCACTTCTTCTGATAAATTTATTTCTTGACTCAGAAAAGCGATATTGTCCATGATGAAAATTAAAACATTTTAATTTACACATTTTAAAGAATGAGTCAAAATCTAACAAAGCCTCATTAAAACAGTCAAGAATTAAGCACTTACTTTCATTTGAAGATCCTCAGAACTTTCGGTCGACATGTACAAAGAAAGCAGGACGGGCAAAGTGTTTGTGACCGCGACAGCCCGGGCATGCTCCGGAGTGTGCCTCCCAATCTGTCCCAAGGCCCAGGCAGCAGCAGCCTTAATATGATCTTCTGGCTCTTCCGACAAGCAGACTGACAGCTGGGGCACACCCTGCAGCGTTGATCAAAAGAGCAAGAGTTATGAATCCAGAGCAGGATTAAAGAGTCTTCCCTGTCTCTCAAACGTTAGAAGGAATCATTTTGGTCTTGATCCTTTTCTTAAACGGTTCAATAAATGAGCACTTCACAGGGGCTGTCATTTTTCAAGTCAATAAAATGACTAGAACTAATTTACCTTAATTATCTGTAACAATCCAACTAAACTAAATAACTCCACTAGCGTTTACTCCCCAAACAGAGGCATTTAACCAAAAAACAGATGCCACAGACCAGTATTTAGGCAAAACCAGATTCCCCTGTGACAAATTAAAAATGCGTAGGATTTTAAAACCTTTTGCTTGAGGGGAGGCCGGCTGGGGCTGGCGCACACATCCCAGACGCAGCCGGGCTGGTGACTCAGCTGCAGGTGGCGCCCCAGAGTCCGGGGAAGTGGCGGGGGGCGCAGGACGGTCTCCGAGGTTGCCCCCGGGGCAAAGGATTTCCAGATCTGATCAGGGAGCTGGACTCCTCGGTGTCACCACTTAGAACACACATCCTGTCTTTGCTATCAACATCACGGATCACCAACCACCCCAGACATCTGCCTGTGTGACTTTAAAAAGTCAATGCAGCAGCATTTTGGTTGAAGAAGGAGACCTTCAAGATGGCAGAAGAGTAAGATGCGGAGATCACCTTCCTCCCCACAAAAACATCAGAAATGCATCTACATGTGGAATAACCCCTACATAACATCTACTGAACGCTGGCAGAAGATATCAGACTTCCCAAAAGGCAAGAAACTCCCCACATACCTGGGTAGGGCAAAAGAAAAAAGGAAAAACAGAGACAAAAGAATAGGGACGGGACCTGCACCAGTGGGAGGGAGCTGTGAAGGAGGAAAGGTTTCCACACACTAGGAAGCCCCTTCGCCGGCGGAGACTGCGGGTGGTGGAGGGGGGAAGCTTCGGAGCTGCGGAGGAGAGCACAGCAACAGGGGTGAGGAGGTAAAAGCGGCGAGATTCCTGCACAGAGGATTGGTGCCGACCAGCACTCACCAGCCCGAGAGGCTTGTCTGCTCACCCGCCAGGGCGGGCGGGGCTGGGAGCTGAGGCTCGGGCTTCAGAGGTCGGAGCGCAGGGAGAGGACTGGGGTTGGCTGCGTAAACGCAGCCTGAAGGGGCTAGTGCGCCACAGCTAGACGGGAGGGAGTCCGGGAAAAAGTCTGGAGCTGATGAAGAGGCAAGAGACCATTGTTTCAGGGTGCGCGACGAGAGGGAATTCAGAGCAACACCTAAACGAGCTCCAGAGATGGGCGCGAACCGCAGCTACCAGCGCAGACCCCAGAGACAGGTATGAGATGCTAAGGCTGCTGCTGCCGCCACCAAGAAGCCTGTGTGCGAGCACAGGCCACTGTCCACACCTCCCCTCCCGGGAGCCTGTGCAGCCCACCACCGCCAGGGTCCCGTGATGCAGGGACAACTTCCCTGGGAGAACGCACAGCGCGCCTCAGGCTGGTGCAACGTCACGCTGGCCTCTGCCGCCGCAGGCTCACCCCGCATCTGTACCCCTCCCTCCCCCCTGCCTGAGCGAGCCAGAGTCCCCGAATCAGCTGCTCCTTTAACCCCGTCCTGTCTGAGCGAAGAACAGATGCCCTCAGGCAAACTACACGCAGAGGCGGGTCCAAATCCAAAGCTGAACCCCAGGAGCTGTGCGAACAAAGAAGAGAAAGGGAAATCTCTCCCAGCAGCCTCAGGAGCAGCGAATTAAATCTCCACAGTCAACTTAATGTTCCCTGCATCTGTGGAATACCTGAATAGACAACGAATCATCCCAAACTGAGGAGGTGGACTTTGGGAGCAATGATATATATTTTTTTTTCCTTCTTCTCTTTTTGTGAGTGTGTATGTGTGTGCTTCTTTGTGTGATTTCGTTTGTATAGCTTTGTATTTACCATTTGTCCTAGGGTTCTGTCTGTCCGTTTTTGTTTGTTTTTAAGCATAGTTTTTAGCACTTGTTATCATTGGTGGATTTGTTTTTTGCTTTGGTTGCTCTCTTCTTTCTTTTTTTAAATTACTTTTTAATTTTTATTATTTTTTTTATTTTTTTTGCAGTACACGGGCTGCTCACTGTTGTGGCCTCTCCCATTGTGGATCATAGGCTCCGGCTGCACAGGCTCAGCAGCCATGGCTCACGGGCCTAGTCGCTCCACGGCATGTGGGATCCTCCCGGACCGGGGCATGAACGTGTGTCCCCTGCATCAGCAGGCGGACTCTCAACCACTGAGCCACCAGGGAAGCCCAATTTTTTTATTTTTAATAATTATTTTTTATTGTAATAACTTTATTTTATTCTCTCCCTCCCTCCCTCCCTTCCTTCCTTTCTTTCTTTTTTTCTCCCTTTTCTTCTGAGCTGTGTGGCTGACAGGGTCTTGGTCCTCCAGCCGGGTGTCAGGCCTGTGCCTCTGAGGTGGGAAAGCCGAGTTCAGGACACCAGTCCACCAGAGACCTCCCAGCTCCACATAATATCAAACGGTGAAAGGTCTCCCAGAGATCTCCATCTCAACGATAAGACCCAGCCCCACTCAATGACCAGCAAGCTACAGTGCTGGATACCCTATGCCAAACAACTAGCAAGACAGGAACACAACCCCACCCATTAGCAGAGAGCCTACCTAAAATCATAATAAGGTCACAGATGCCGCAAAACACACCACCAGACATGGTCCTGCCCACCAGAAAGACAAGATCCAGCCTCATCCACCAGAGCACAGCCACTAGTCCCCTCCACCAGGAAGCCTACACAGCCCACTGAACCAACTTCAGCCACTGGGGGCAGACACCAAAAACAATGGGAACTACGAACCTGCAGGCTGTGAAAAGGAGACCCCAAACACAGTAAGTTAAGCCAAGTGAGAAGACAGAGAAACGCACAGCAGATGAAGGAGCAAGGTAAAAACCCACCAGACCAAACAAATGAAGAGGAAATAGGCAATCTACCTGAAAAAGAATTCAGAATAATGATAGTAAAGATGATCCAAAATCTTGGAAATAGAATAGACAAAATGCAAGAAATATTTAACAAGGACCTAGAAGAACTAAAGAGCAAACAAACAATGATGAACAACACAATAAATGAAATTAAAAATTCTCTAGAAGGAATCAATAGCCGAAAAACTGAGGCAGAAGAACAGATAAGTGACCTGGAAGAGAAAATAGTGGAAATAACTACTGCAGAGCAGAATAAAGAAAAAAGAATGAAAAGAATTGAGGACAGTCTCAGAGACCTCTGGGACAAAAGTAAATGAACAAATATTTAAACTATAGGGGTCCCAGAAGAAGAGAAAAAGAAAGGGACTGAGGGCTTCCCTGCTGGCGCAGTGGTTGAGAGTGCGTCTGCCAATGCAGGGGACACGGGTTCGTGCCCGAGTCTGGGAGGATCCCACATGCCGCGGAGCGGCTCGGCCTGTGAGCCATGGCCGCTGAGCCTGTGCGTCCGGAGCCTGTGCTCTGCAACGGGAGAGGTCACAACAGTGAGAGGCCCGTGTACCGCATAAAAAAAAAAAAAAAAAAAAAAGGAAAGGGCCTGAGAAAAAATTTGAAGAGATTATAGTTGAAAACTTCCCTAATATGGGAAAGGAAATAGTCAATCAAGCCCAGGAAGCACAGAGAGTCCCATACAGGATAAATCCAAGGAGAAACACGCCAAGACACATAGTAATCAAATTGGCAAAAATTAAAGACAAAGAAAAATTATTGAAAGCAGCAAAGGAAAAATGACAAATAATATACAAGGGAACTCCCATAAGGTTAACGGCTGATTTCTAGCAGAAACTCTACAAGCCAGAAGGGAGTGGCAGGACATATTTAAAGTGATGAAAGGAAAAAACCTACAACCAAGATTACTCTACCCAGCAAGGATCGCATTCAGATTCGACAGAGAAATTAAAATCTTTACAGACAAGCAAAAGCTAAGAGAACTCAGCACCACCAGACCAGCTTTACAACAAAGGCTAAAGGAACTTCTCTAGGCAGGAAAGCCAAGAGAAGGAAAAGACCTACAATAACAAACCCAAAACAATTAAGAAAATGGTCATAGGAACATACATATCAATAATTACCTGAAATGTAAATGGATTAAATGCTCCAACCAAAAGACACAGACTGCCTGAATGGATACAAAAACAAGACCCATATATATGCTGTCTACAACAGACCCACTTCAGACCTAGGGACACATACAGACTCAAAGTGAGGGGATGGAAAAAGATATTCCATGCAAATGGAAATGAAAAGAAAGCTGGAGTAGCAATTCTCATATCAGACAAAATAGACTTTAAAATAAAGACTACTACAAGCGACAAAGGAGGACACTACATAATGCTCAAAGGACCAATCCAAGAAGAAGATATAACAATTGTAAATATTTAAGCACCCAACATAGGAGCACCTCAATACATATGGCAAATGCTAACAGCCATAAACGGGGAAATCGACAGTAACACAATCATAGTAGGGGACTTTAACACCTCACTTTCACCAATGGACAGATCATCCAAAATGAAATAAATAAGGAAACACAAGCTTTAAATGATACATTAAACAAGATGGACTTAATATTTATAGGACATTCCATCCCAAAAAAAGAGAATACACTTTCTTCTCAAGGGCTCATGGAACATTCTTCAGGATAGATCGTACCTTGGGGCACAAGTCAAGCCTTGGTAAATTTAAGAAAATTTAAATTCTATCAACTATCTCTTCTGACCACAATGCTATGAAACTAGATATCAATTACAGGAAAAAGTCTGTAAAAAAGACAAACACATGGAGGCTAAACAATACACTACTAAATAACCAAGAGATCACTGAAGAAATCAAAGAGGAAGAAATACCTAGAAACACATGACAATGAAAACACAATGACCTAAAACCTATGGGATGCAGCAAAAGCAGTTCTAAGAGGGAAGTTTATAGCAATAAAATCCTACCTCAAGAGACAAGAAAAGTCTCAAATA